ATAGCATCGGCCGTTGCGCTCACTTGGGGAGTGAATCATTGGATGGAAGATCTTCTTCTCTGTCTCTCCTCTCTGTATATCTGCCTTTCCAATAAAAATTAAAAAAAAAAAGAATTAAGAAAAAAAATCCTCTTGTGCCCTGACAGAAATGACCTTTCAATGATTCATTTACTCTACCCTTTGTTTCTGGGAACAACCCCCTTCAGACCTTGTCTTTCATAAATACTTCCAGATTAAGACCCCCACCCCCCCACCGACCCCCTGCCACTGACTGGTTAACTCTTACTCCAAATTAAGAGATGACTCTCCAGCGTTGTCTTATCGATGTCCCAGAAGGAAAATAACTGATGGGTAAAATAGCAGAATACAACAGAACTGTTCAGCTGCCACTTGGGATGCCTGTGCCTATAGCCAAGGCTTAGGTTTAAGTCCTGGATCTTCTCTGTGGTGCACACTTCTGGAGAAGCTGGTGATGGTTTAGTTGTCTGGGTCCCTTCTATACGTTTGCAAGATGTGAATGGAATTCTTGGCTCCTGCAGGCAGTTGAGGAATGAACCATGGATTGGGAACTCTCTCTTCTTAATTTAAGATAAATAAACAAATATAAGCTGGTATTCAACTTAGAAATGTAACAGACCTCGTGGAATGATGGAATGGTTTTATCCACAGTAGAGCCTCTTTAAAAATTACACTGTTTCTCTAACTTTTCGGTGTAGGAGGGCACATTGCCATGTCTGAGCTGAGCTCCCTGTGGGAGCCATTTGCCTATGTCAGGGATTTCACTTTTCAGGATTAGAAGAAAGATTGTCAACAATTTGACACTTCCTGAAATACTGCTGACTTCTGGGTTTTTATTTATGTTTTGAAGTATGGTACTCAAGAGACTAGTCTGTCTGCCATTTTACTAAAAGCTGTAATGCTTCCAAGTCTTTGGAATGTCATGTTATAACAAGAAAATGGCACTCAGTATTTAGTAGCAAGAGAGGATTTAGAACCTGGAGGTTGCTCCAGGCTGAAGGATTGACCGGAACCCTAATGTCATCAGTAAGTTGTAAGAAGATGGTTATAATCTCATGACCACACTGTCCCTGTTTCATGTTTGACAATGTGGCCATTTGTCTTCAGCAGAAAAGGGTAGTCAAAGCAAAGCAGGAGCCAAATTTGCTGCTTCACTGGGGTGTAGGGAAGTAAAACATTGCTGCAGCAAGATACAAGTGTAGCTGAGTGAGCAGCACCTGGGGACCATGAAGTTGGCAGTCAGTGGCCATCATCAAGTCTGATGGGGAAAACCCAAGATGGTTTGTGGGGAAGGGAATAATAGGGATCACTTATAGGTGAGAATCACACAGCAGGCTGGTCAGGGTATCTGGGAAGTGGACCATTGCTTCCTAGATTGGGATCAGGAGGCAGGGGCATTTATTGAGAACAGAATAGGAACCCGGGGTTCTGTAGCAGTAGGCATCTAATTTCCAATCCAGGAAGTAGATAAGATGCTTTAGTCCAAGGCAGATGCCAAGTTAGAAGACCAGAGCCTTTAAGGCTGAGTTGGAATTCAGGCAAAGCACATCGAAAGCATTAGGGCTACTGCTAGCTGCAGGATAGAACCTGTGGACTTAGGATGGGACTGCTAAGATCAGTGGCCCCAAGCATATTTACAGAGAGAAGGAGAGAATATGAGAAAGATCTTCCATCTGCTGGTTACTCCTCAAGTGGCTGCAATGGCCTGAGCTGAACCAGTTCAAAACCAGGAGCCAGGAGCTTCTGGTCTGCATGCTGGTGCAGGGGACCATCCTCAACTGTTTTCCCAGGCCACAAGCAGGGAACTAGATGGGAAATGGAGCAACCAGGATATGAACTGGCATCTATGAGATCCTGGAGCATGCAAAGTAAGAATTTAGCCACTGAGCCACAGCACAGGGTCCACAAGTAAACATTTTTAATTGTAATCACTTTATACTTCTTCCCATTGTAAGCAAAGAGGGCCACTTTTGGAAGTTTGTCTGCTGCTGTCCAGCAGCTTCTTGCTTATTTGGACTGTTGATGGAATTTAACCCACATGTTTAATCAGTTATTGTCATACCATATGAAATTCCTGATATTCAACTCTCTTTGATGTTTTAAGCCTGAAATTTCATATGAATCAATCTGATAGTTCCTGCTGTCTCTTCTACTTCTTCTTTCTTTCTTTTTTTTTTCAAACAACAGATTCGCTCTGTGAATTAAGGAGGAAGAGTGGAAATGGTGTGCTCAACAAAGGAACCAAAGCTGACCAAGGGAGCTGGCGCCTGCACTCTGCTCCACCCCCCAAGAGCTGCAGCATTTAAGCTGCTCAGCTTCATCTCTGTTGAGCTGAAGTTTGAATGCACTGCCACTTATCAGTTGGAAACTCACATTTTACCTTGACTAAAAGAGCTCTAAGTCATGGCAATTTCAGCTTGTGTCAGAAATTTTCTAATGGAACTGTTTTTTTTAGAACCATATTTGGCTAAATCCCAAACTTCAGAAGTTAATTTAAAGTGATTTTGTCACATATTGGATGCCAACATCAGTCTTTTTGTTCATATGTGAGAAGATTCTTATGGAATCAAGCATGGCTTTAAACCCACAAGCACAAGTTTATACATATACACACAAGTAAGGGCCTGGGTTTGCTAACCGGATACCATCTCTTTAAGGTAACTGCTTCCTTGGAGAGAAACCGGGCAAGCACAGAATGACAATCCAGAAAGGGACTCCTGGTGGCCTAGAACCCCGGGTCTGAGGTTCAAAGCCATGCAGACAATTATATCTGAAAGCTCCCCCAACCCCACCTTACGTATTTCCCTTTGTCTGTCATCATTTTTTTTTCTCAAAATCTTCACCAAAAATCTTCTGCAAAGTAATTTTTTAGTCATGTAGTTTATTCTTTTGAACTTCATGGACCTCACACGTCTGGCCTCACAACTGGGAACTATTCCATTGTAGTGACACTGCTGGGGTTCCGTCCAGTTTTTTATTCCTCATTACAAAAGAGAAAAAGCAGCGCTGGAATAAAATTAGGAAACAGGCAAATTATTAAACATCTAGATGAACCAGTTTCTGATAACGGTCAAAGGAGAAAAAGTCCTCTCTGGGTGAACAAGTGCTGAGCAAAATCCATGAAGGTAGCCATCTCTGTATGCTGGGCACATACACTGGGAGGGGACACTAGAAGTACCATGTGCCATGAGTGTGAGGTTAAATAATAGAAAGTTTTAGAAAGTAGAGTAGAAAGTTTTCTACTGTGCTCATGGTTCAAAAATCTGAAAGGGGAAGTCTGTGCTGCCCTGTGATGGGATCAGTGAAAATGAAGATGCACTTGGTTAAAACTGCTCTCAGTCTCTGGGTAGGCTGATGGCTTTCAACTTGTATCTCCCTTTACATCTTGCATCTCTTGCATCTCTTAAATCTCCTGTGGTGCAGCCTTGATTGCTGCAGTGTTGTGAATGGAAGCAGAATTTCCCCTCCCAGCTCTTCACATTTCTTCTTCTGATGGTGCTCAAGTCATTGCCCCAGTTCTGCCCACTTGATTGGTAAATATCCATTTTGAAGATGCCCATGCAAATGAATCTTTAAAATGAGGATAGTCATAATAAGTTTTATGAAAAACTATGGAAGAATTTTACAAATCAGGTCCACCCTGATTTGGGCCATTGGCCTGTCCTCCTGCCTACCCCAACTGAATTCCAGATCTCCATTCAGCACATGGCTTGGTACTGAAGTCCTTCTGGAAATGGATGGCTTACAGGTCGTTTTCAGAAAACTCAGCTTTTAGGCCAAGGAACATATGCTTGGTCCTTGATTTTTGTCAAGAAAAATTTCCATGTATTCAAAAGACTAGTAGGTATCAGATATCAGCAAAATTACAGTTAACAGGAAGTGAATTACTAAATAAGGCACTCCTGCCTGTGTTGATGTGTTTGACCTCTGGCTCACCTAGGCGTAATCCATGGTAATACTATGATGCTAACAGCAGCTACATCCAGGCCTGTGTGTGTGTGGTACTTGTGTACCTGTACGTACTCCTATGGGTATGTGCTTTTTGTGTTTGTGTCTGCATGCGTATGTATGAGTGTGTATATCCCTGTTTTTGTGCACATGAGATTTCTCAGGGGCACAACACCCTTATGAGGTCTGTCTGCCTGTCTGTGTCTGGGAAATCCTCAGAAGCTCAGGCAGGACACCTTCTCCAGGGTAGTGCACAGACGACGGGTCATGCCTATACTTCCCTTGCCACTGGCTGCCTAGCTTGCTAAGCAGCAGTGGAAATTTGGGGCCTCCTTGGAAATAGGGACCTGGGACTGCCACTTAATCTGGAAGCAGGCCATTTGCCCTTGCATACCGTCCCGTCATAGCCTGTTGTTATGCCACCCACGTTCAGGATGCAGTTCCTGGCCTTGGCTGTTGTTAGGGGCAAGGAGTCAGACCAGTTGGGCCCAGGTCACTGCTCTTTGACCTGCCAGGGAAAACTGTAGCTCCCAAGTAGCTAGGGAGGGAGTTTTAAGGGCCTTAAACAGATATGCAGATGCTGTGTTTCTGGAAGTATGAATATTAAGAAATGAAAAATAACATTCTCAAATGTGTTAAATATTTTTAATTACCCATGGCATTTTGTGACGTCATGGTCAAACCAGGGTATAAATTCTGGAGGATACATACTTCGAATCAAGTATTACATGACATTTCCCTTGCTCTACAGGAAGCCCATCCGCGTGCTATTCTTAGAATTTTATGTTTCCCACGTTGTAAAAGCCATATGTGCTGATGAATCTGCCTATAATACTTCCCTGACCGATGTCCACGGTTCTAGAGCTTGAGATTCACTTTAAAGGCACATGAAAAGACATTGTTATTTGATTGTGTTCAGTGAGAATGTTTCTATTCAGTTTCTAAGCATGAGATGTAAGTATGTTCCAGTGATAATAGACCCCTGATTTATCACTAGAGACTGACAAAAGTGCTTTCATTTTTATACAAACCAGCGCTTTTGGCTGCCCATATTCAGACATGAACTTGAAAAAGGAGACAACGCCTCATGATCGTTTGAAGGAGCAAACGCAGACAAATTTGGAATCAGACTCTACACAGTCAAAACAGAAAAACCTCCGTAGTTTGAACTTCAATGGAAAACATCAGTCCAGGTAAGAAACTTTCTGAAAATGTGAACCAGACCGTAAACCACGAAGAGTAACACAAATTGGAACAAAATAGAATGAATTTGTTAATGATAATAATTTATTGGATTTTTTTCAAACTAAGTCTTTGAATGTCTGGATGTTGACCATATGAAGTCTAATCTGCTACTAGTCTCTGTCATCTTTGATACAGACAAATCTCAGATGTGATCTTTGCTCATTAAATTGTTTCCATTTATGTTTATTCCTAACACATTATCCTATTGTTTCTATATATATAAGCTTATGATTTTGAGTATCATTTTCAATCTTTATTTTCATATACTTATTTTCATAAGAGCTTATAAATACAACTTAATTTGATATTTTTTTATCTGAGGGAGTAAGCAATCTTTTTTTAAGATATATTTATTTTTATTGGGAAGGCAAATTTACAGAGAGGAGAGACAGAGAGAAAGATCTTCATCTGTTAGTTCACTCCCCAAATGGCTACAGCATCCAGAGCTGAATTGATCTGAAGCCAGGGTCCCAAGGCTTTCGGCCATCCTCCACTGCTTTTCCAGTCCACAAGCAGGGAGCTGGATGGGACACAGACTGGCACCCCTATGGGATCCTGTGCTTGCAGGGGGAGGATTAGCTAATTGAATCATTGCCCCCTAGTAAACAATCTTATTAGCCTTCCCAGTGTTTGCATGAGGAGGACTAGCCAAATGAGCCATCGTACCAGCCCTAAGGAAACAATCTTAATAACATCATTTCTCCAAAGGGTCCCATATGCCATGTAGGGAATTGCAACCTTAGGTAAATAATGGACAGCCTGACAGAGAATGCCAAAAGAGGCTGGGCAAGGAGTGAGAAGCAGGAGTTTCCAGCCCTGCTGCAGGCAGAAGGTGGTTGTGTCCAAGGCCCCTGCCCCTCCTGCACAGCAGAGCCCTGTTCCTTTTCCCTGCACACAGCAAGTGAGGAGGCTCTGCTGCTCTGGGGCATGGAATTGCCCCAGATGATGTATACCCCACTCCCTGCAGGTGTGAACTGCGCTCTTATTTCATACAGATGTATTTCAGAGTGTTTGAGTGACACTTCAGTTTTGTAGAATAGCCTGTCTGAGTGAGACGATTCTCCCTGGGCTGCAGGTTCATTTTCCTCTAGATGGCATGATCTGTTTCCCATGAGTACACACGCATCTCTATTTTTGCAGCATCGCTTGCATCTTTATTATTTGCTACACACCCACTCCTCTTGTTGAAACTTCACAGGGTCTGCTTGTTCCTTACTGCTTTTCACACCCACGCTGTTTACAACTTAAGTAGTTGAGAACTTCAATGTCCTTTCCAATTCTTTGTTGAGAATATTTTTTTCTGTTTCTTGGTGTTTTTTTTTAAACTGTACTCCATGGAAGAGGGTTTATTCCAAAATTATCAATAGTGTATCTATTAGCTGTCTTTCTTTTCTTTTTACTATATCTTATTGTATTTTTAAAAATACAAATCTAGCCTCGCTTGTAAATATTTCTGACATTCCTCCTCAGTGTTAAAAGCTGCAGAGACTAAACAGGTCTTTGAATTTTTTGAAAAAAAAAATGATTACACTGTTGTATTCTCTCAGAGGTTAGCTAGGCCTTTTTTTTTTTTTTTTTTTTTTTAACAAGCATAAACCTATTGCCTCCCTTGTATGGAAATCCACATAGAAATTTACCTTTCTTGGTATGTTATCAGGTACTTTGCGATCTTTGAAAGTACTTTGCGATTTAGATTGTCAGATAGATATGATTACTGCAGATAGAAGGAGAATATTAGTTGATGATGGAGCAGAAAATTTTAGTTCTGCCACATCTTGAATGTGGAGAGCTGTGTATGTCACTGAGGGAGTGGCGTGGGTTGTATCATACACTTCCTGAATCCCTGCGTCTTCCTTCACTTTGAAAACAGAAGAGCCAAACCATCCGTGCACTCCAGCCCAGCTCATTTTTTTTTCTAATCAATCATTGTGACAGAATTTGAGTGCACAATATTGGGAGTCTTGCTCAGGTGAAATCCTTCCCCCCCAAAAACTCCAACACATCCTGATGCAAAGTCCAGGGTGAAGAAAAAGAAGAACAAGGAATAGTGGGAGGGGTCCCCAGACAGTACCTGGAGAAGTGGGATATTTTTCCATGATATGTAGTTTTCCATGATGGTTCTGGAAAGCTCCCATCTGTAGACCGACAGTGCCTAGAAAAAGGAGTACCTTGCAGTTGTTCTAACAGTTTACTGCCGTCCACTGCTGTGATTGCCATTTCTCTGACCCAAATCTGTACTCTTGAAATCAAAACCAGATGGTAAATATTTCATTTTTATTTCTTCCACATGTTGAAAAGAGGTGTTTTTGTTAACTTGGCTCCTGTTTAAGGAGAGAGTTGGAGTTTTAATTGGTAAAAATTACAACTACAGTTTCCACTGGCCTCCAGTCAATCCAAGGAGCACGAGCTCTGGTCCAGGCTATGTAATTGCTGACACAGATAGCACTTACCACCTCAGAAGCTCCAGATTTCTTACCATTTGGGTGCAAAATATAAAACTAACTCTGCCTTGACATTCTTCCAGAATCAATTAGACATTGCTCAGAAATTTAAACAATTTTGTCTTTGCCTTAGCTGCACTCAAGTTTTGTGATTATTTTTAAATGTATATTTACTCATATTAATCTTTTGGGGAAGAAGCAATTATTAGCTAATTGATGCCTCCTCTGTATAATTTAGTAGTGGAAATGTTCTGTTTCTGTCACATTTTTAGGAAAGGGTCATGATTTAAATTAGAATAGATTATATATTGCTAGATGTTTGCAAAATGTACTTCCGAAACACTCAGGTATGCATCTTCTGTTAATTTTCCAAAGTCAGATTCAGGTTAGGCACACTTACTAAAGTGTGTGTTTTTCCAACTTGTGTAAGATTCGTGAAATTAGAGATGGTGTTCTTTGTACTGATAAATGTGTGTTATAGTATATTCACAGAGGCTTGGGTTGGAGCAATGATCTTACACTTGGGTTTCTTTTGCTTGGATGTGTTTCCTACTCTGTGTGTGTGTGGGGGCGGGGGGATGTATTCCCTACTGTGTGTGAGGGGGATGTGTTCCCTACAGTATATGCATGTGTGTGTGTGTGTGTGTGATGTGTTCCCTACAGTGCATGTGGGGAGGGGATGTGTTCCCTACAGTGCGCGGGGGTGTGGGTGATGTGTCCCCTACAGTGTGTGCATGTGTGTGTGTGTGTGTACACGTGTACATGTGGGGGATGTGTCCCCTACAGTGTGTGTGTGTGTGTGTGTGTGTGTGTGTGTGATGTGTTCCCTACAGTGCATGTGGGGAGGGGATGTGTTCCCTACAGTGCATGGGGGTGCGGGGGATGTGTCCCCTACAGTGTGTGTGTGTGTATGTGTGTGTGTGTGTGTGTGATGTGTTCCCTACAGTGCATGTGGGGAGGGGATGTGTTCCCTACAGTGCATGGGGGTGCGGAGGATGTGTTCCCTACAGTGTGTGTACACCACACACGTGTACATGTGGGGGATGTGTCCCCTACAGTGCGTGTGTGTGTGTGTGTGTGTGTGATGTGCTCCCTACAGTGCATGTGGGGAGGGGATGTGTCCCCTACAGTGTGTGTGTGTGTGTGTGTGATGTGTTCCCTACAGTGCATGGGGGGAGGGGATGTGTCCCCTACAGTGTTTGTGTGGCGGGGATGTGTTCCCTACAGTGTATGTGTGAGCGGGTGGGGTGCTTTAATCTGCTCTAACAGCTGATAGTTTGTACATCCATGGCATTTGCTATTTCCCATCATTTTATGTATCAGGAAGAGCACACACTTTTGTTATCCTAGTGTTGCTGGTTATTGGCAAATAGATAAAGAACTTTACAAGTAGCAGATATAGAATTTGTGGCTAAAACTATTATGTTTCTAATTATAATAAATTAATCGTAACAGCAGAAATATCAGTAGTAATAGCTATTTACCCATGTCACACACTTCCTTTGGGCAACAGGAGTTGCTACAAAGTTTATATTAAACATCTTGTTGATTTTATTTCCTCTCCACAACAACTATTTCTCTGCTGGGTTTTCTTATTCTAATCTTTTCCCTCAACACCTGGAAAGTTCAGAGAGATTATGCAATGCATCCAGTGTTGCATTCTCATCAATGGAAAACTTGGAATTAGAATCCAGAACTGCCTGACGCCAAGCCACACACCTGTGTTCACTGCATTAGGCCAGCAGCAGAATGGCAGTCTGTTTTGAAGAAGGACTGTCTGGGTTTCTGTCTATTCTGTTTACTTCTGTCAAGAATTCTCAGGGTCATCCTCTGATGCATTTAGTTCTAGTTTTGTGAAAACAGAACTACCAAAGGGGAAGATGCTTATCATGATTTCCCCAAAGTGTTTGTCTTCATTTATGCTATAAATGATGCCAGATTTTCCATTGTGAGCACATTTCATTATAATATGCTAACAGCATCTATCTGCAACAAGAAAATAAAATTATAGTCATTAGGACATTTGGATCATAAAATTACTTTGAGATACAACTGTCTCCCACTGCCTTTCAGCTCTTTTCCCCAGGCCTGAGGAAGATGTTTTTTCATGTTTTTCCCACCCACCTGAGTATACTTCAATAACCTTTTTTATTTGCCTGTCAAAATCAGTATTCAATAGAGTATTCTGATTCACACAACTAATGGCACCATTATTTGTTAAAATATCTGTAATGTTCAAATCATGGCTATTAAGAAAATCTAAGGAAAATGCCTAATTAAAGCTCACTTTGTTTTATCCTGATGCCTGCATATTATAAACTGTATGCACTTCTCAAAAGCCTCTACCAGTAATAAAAATGGCTAAGGAAAATTATGGCAATCAGAGGGAATGGCATGTAGTGGAATAGCTCCTCAGTGATCCCAATAATAAATTGCACTGCCATGAGCTAACTAGGTTGTTTTCACTGCCCAAATTAGTTCCAATGTAATACCCTCAGTGAGGGCCA